TGAGTGAACAGAGGAAAGGCATGGTTTTGTTAAAGTTCAGAGATGAGAGTCAAAAGATCTGGGTTTTATCCCTTCTCTACTATAGACATCCTGTGTGATCTTGGGCAAGTCATTTCATCATTTTGTGCCTCAGTTCCCATCTGTAAAATGGGGATAATAATACCTGGTACTTTTCTACATTATGGTAGCAGTGCTGCCAGGTAACATTTTTTAATGTTTGCATAGTGCTTTAAGCTCCTCAGCTGAAATGCACGATTCTGTATATGTACAAAATACTATAAAATCCGGTTGACACAACTTTGTTTGAAAATCATTTTTACAATCACCTGATTGTGGTGGTTCTTTTGTATAGATAAAGGCCCTGATCCAGTAAAATCCTTCAAAAAATGCTTAACATGACGCTTGAAGTCTATGGGACTACTTCCATGCTTAAAGTTAAGCATGTGCTGAAATGTTTTGCTGGATTATGGCCAATGTGTAGTTTTCAAGCACTGAGCTAGAACTCATCTCCTCTTTTATGAGAGCTTTACTTTTCATTGTGATTACACAGATAGGCGAGTGTGCATTAATTCCTTACTTTTTTGTTTATAATTATAAAAAAAACCCAAGTTTTGGCTTGGTAGTTCCTTGATTTTGGATCAAGAGACTTTTAACCTCTCTCAGCTGACATGAATCTTAAAGGAGATTTAGTAATTGAAAGTAATTCCCCAGCATGCCCACAGCTCTGGGATTCCTGACCTTCACATCAAGCATCATTCACATCTCCCCCTTGCCGGGATCTTATGACATATTCCTGAGTGAACCGATCATGTGCCAAAGACCGGTGACACTGACACACCACATAAAGTTGCTTAAAGCCATGTGACAATATCCCTGCCTCCAGTCACTTTTAAAGTGAAAAATACATGTTTCTTGCTAACAGGCATTTTCAGACACTGTGCTCTGCGGGTGTTGATCTGTTTCTCTCCATAAGCTGGCTGTGGGTGGTAGCCAGTTAGCTGATCTATCTTCAGTGCTTTTACTTTCACTTCTAGCCCACACAATTATGGATGATTCTTGCTATACTCTGATTAGTGGGTTCCTTGGTGCTGTTCATTCGCCACAGGGAATAGGATTTGGACATTTGCACGAATGGTTGTCTGTCTAAACCAGTTATAGAGGACTCATCTGACCTTCAGTAGTTAAAGTGGTTGAACATTTTATGAACTAACCCATTACTGTCTGGAGAACACATTGGTACAAGTGGACAGATTGTCTAGAGATAAAGCATCACAGATGGTGAGGGTAAGGAGTCCAATCGAATAATGCCTAAACTTCTGCCATGCTGGTATTACTTGGTAAAAGGGAAGTGGCACCAGTTACTCAGCTTTTGGACTTGAGTAACTGAAAAATATTAAAAACAGATTTCACACTTTCATTTGCTCAAGTGTTAAATAACCCCTGTTCCAAATGATTGTGTGCAAGGGATGAAGAGAAGCTTTGTGAGCAGGTTCTGACCTATGGGTGGGTGCAAAGCCCAAGCTTTGGTGTGCAGACTTTGTATGTGTGTGTGCAGGAAGTACAGGGAGTTAGTGGAATAATAGGTGGAAGTTTCCTGTATTAAAAGCGAAAGAGGGGAGCCTGTGATGTGTGCCAGGCAGAGTTGCGATAAACACGGGAGACATCCTGATTCCACAACTACCCCAGTGAGCTCTGTCAGCAGCCCGAAGCTGTTCATTCTCCCTTCCATACCTCAGTCCATCAGACTGGCATTTCAGCCTGGGTGGGGCTTCTGTGACCTAGAGGCCTCTTGTGGTTCCTGGTTGGACAGCATTGGGTAGACTGCCCTAATTAAAATGGAGTCTCCACTCTGTGGACTTTCCACAAGAGGCCTTTGCATAACTGCTCAAAAAATGTTTTTTACTGGACCAACTTCTGTTGGTGAGCGAGAGAAGCTTTACTCAGAGCTCTTCTTCAGGTCAGAGCTGTGTGTAAGCTCACAAGGTTGTCTCTTTCATCAATAGAAGTTGTTCCAGTAAAAGATATTACCTCACCCACCTTGCCTTGCTAATATCTTGGGACTGACATGGCTAGAACAACACTGCATACAAAAATATTCTGTTTTTTTATTACCAAGTTTCAGTGGGATAGGCCAGCAGGGCACCAAAACCTATTGCAAGACCTCCCTGTATGTGCTACTTGATAGTTCTGCTGAGTAGTACCCTGAAAATAGGCATATTATGACAAAATAATTCAGTTTATTTAAGTATATTTCCGTGTGATGAATGAACAACACTTTATATTTCACTAAATCCATCAGGGACTTAAATATAGCCATTGCAAGCAGTTGGAAATTCTTATTTAATGTGGTGTTCACCAAAAACACAGTCTAGCAGTGAAGAGGTGGATGTTTGAAAACAGTTACCTGGAAAATCAGTTATTGTGATTCTTTGGGCTTGTAAATGTCACACAAAATAGAATAATTGCTCATGGTTCTCTTTTTAAAGCCAGTGTTTTAAAAGCTTTTAGAAACTAGCTTTCGTTTTCCTTAAAGCAGTGTTAGAATTCTCAAACAGTGCTAGAATTCTTGCAGCAAGGCTATTATTGATGCTTGATTACAATCGGAAGGGAAGCCTCACAGTAAAGGAGATTATCATGTGGTACTGTTGCCGTGTCACTGTGATATTCTTTTTCCTCGCTGTACTTGAGCACCTGTATATTGGTGGGGGCAGAGGGTTACATGACAGCAGTAGGCTTCCCCTCTATGTATGTCCCCTAACACACATAGAGACAGGGCCGGCTCTGGCTTTTTTGCTGCCCCAGGCAAAAAAGCCTCCCGCCGCCTCCCCCCCCCCCTCCGCAGGGGAGGGCGGCGAGCCCGGCCGGGGCTCCGCTCTCCCCGGTGGCCAGAGGCAGCGCCGGGGGGAGGACAGCGAGCCCAGTCGTGGCCCCGCTCTCGGGCCGGAGCGCCACGCCGCCCCCCTCCAGGTGCCGCCCCAAGCACCAGCTTGGTGGGCTGGTGCCTGGAGCCGGCCCTGCATAGAGAAAGTCATATGACATCATCCCAGTCAGCACTGATAACACTTATTCATAGCAGTCAGAGAACAGAAATCATTTCAAACCTAAAATTTCACTTGTATTTTAGGAATCCTGTCTGGATGATGTGTGACATCATACAGATAATAGACAGCAATAAAATCCTAAAGCAGTATGAATATTTATAGTCACTAGTGATTTCTTACTCTGATCTACATCACATACACAGTAAATAGTGGTTTTCCTATGATTTCTCACTGACAGAACAGATTGTTTTCTAATAAATTAATTGCATTGCAACCTTAAATGTCAATGAAAATTCTGATGAAATCTATAAAATGAGATTGTGAATGCATTCATGTAGCAATTCAAAGCAATTGATTGAAATTTTAAATTGTGCTTTGTAGACACATATTATAGGGTTAAGGTCTATGGTTGTAACAGAGGTAAAATGCATAGCTATGATAATTTATCATCTGAAAACATTCCCTGTTCCCTTTATCTTGCTAGAGATCTGAAATGTAAATCAAAATCTGGGTTACTATGGAAGGAGTTAGCAATCCTGTTTTAAAAAATCTCTGTGAACATTTGCACTGAAAATCATCTGTCTCTGAAATGATGAGGGTTTTAAAACATATGCAGAGATTGAGATGAGGAGGCTGCTGCCTACTTTTGACTTATTTAAATATGCACAGGGCTTCCTCCATTTTAATCTTCCTTTTGAAAAACATGGCTGTATTGCTATAGCTGGCAACCCCCTCAAAAAACAACCATCATTTCTTCCCCGCATAGCGCAGCTGAGCCAGACTAATCTGGAGTGGGAACCCCCTTCAGCCAGCTAAGCAGCCAGGACTATTCATAATTCATAAGTGCTTCAAGCCATCTAGCTGAATGCATTTGGATTAGTTCTTGCTTCTTCGTGCAATCCCTGATTTCATTATTCTGTTCTGCCAGCAAATAAACCCACATACAGCTCTTCTGCAAAGATCGAATGCAAAGCTTGGCTTTGGCTTGGATTAGCAAAAACCATGTTTTTTCAAATCTTTTGGCTTTTATGAATATTGAGCTTTTTATTGACTGGAAAACTGGGACATTCTTGTTCTTGTGGAATTCCTCTACCTGACCTGTGAATTCTTCATAAGGGATTTGTTGATTCTGTTGTGGAGGTTTCCAAAATGCCTGAAGCAAACTATTTGTTATCTGTATCTTGGGGTTACATCAAGGTGGGTTAAGAAGACAATTTATAAATGACTGTGTTATATATTACAAATCTAGGATATAAAATACATAAAGCATATGCTAGTTAAGTTATTTATATATACTGTACAGTAAGAGATAACATCTCTGTACATACTGTAAATGCAACATACATACATGTAATGGGTTTTTTTTTCCCTTTTGATAATTCACTTCAGAGGACAGAATAATATTGCTATAAAGATAGTTTAACTTGAAAATTAGGAATATCATTTTGTGCATATTAGGATGAAAACATGTTTATAATCCTGCATTGTAATGTACTATATCCAAGCATACATGTTTTCTTTTTTTAGATTTACAATATATTTTTCCTCTGTCATGCATTCCTAATGTATGCAATTGCCTTTATTTTGCAAATATATAGCAAAACAGAGCAAATATATATTTAAAATGTGGAATTGAAAACCAGTAGAGGACTTCCATTTTTGAGAGAAATTGCGTAAAACATAGTCTTCTCCTTCATCAGCAAAACCTGATGTGCACATTCTGTTAGAAATTCATTATTGTCAGTTTAATATGACAGTAGGAAACTGCCAATTCCGACAGTGCTGAATATTATCTAAATTCAACCATATGGTGTTGACTGTGTTCTAAACATCTACACAGTTTATTTTTCAATATCTTGTTTATGGATTTGCATGTAATAAAGTTACAGTTAAATTAATGTAGAACGGCATTCAGAATGATGTGAGCTTTTTATTTATTTATTTATTTTATTTCAACAGTTCAAGAGAATGCTAAACCGGGAGCTGACACACCTCTCAGAGATGAGCCGATCCGGGAACCAAGTGTCTGAATACATTTCAAACACTTTCCTGGGTAAGACATTTCACACCAAGCTTTCATATCCCACAGGAATAGGATTTTATGGAAAATAAATTAGCCACTAGCCTGTACTTGTGTCCATTCTTTAAAATAGTTACCCTGTACAAAACATTGCTGAAATGTTTTCTTTTGGGGTAAGTGGCCTAGATTTCAAATATATAATGGGGGGAAATAGAACAATGTTTGGATAAGTATTTCCTCAAAATAAATAATTTCCTCTAAATCTAACAAAATGTTTCTGTTTTCAAAAAGATTTCATGAACCGACTGTTAGCAGCATTATGCATGATTTTCTTTTGACCTTATGTAAAGGACAAGGTCACACACATACTGCTGAATACTTCCCTTCTTTGCACGTCTTTTGTCATATAATTGCATGATTGCCCTCTCAGACAGTAAACAGCCTTGTCCTAGTCATTTTCTATGCCACTTTGTATGTATTTATGAATTTACCACTGCTAATTCTGGGACTGATCCTGAAAACGTTTACACCCAAGAATAACCTTACTCACATTTGTAGTTCTGTTGGAACTGTTGGGGTTATGGACATGAATAAGGTGTTTAAAGGGTTGGGCCCTATGTGATTGCATTATATTTGTTACACAACAAGTAATTTGCTGTAAATGCTTCACATTCAGTTTTAGAATTTGTAAGTATTCTTAAAGAGCAGAAGTTCAGCAAAATACCGATGCAACACTTAAGTCCCACTTAAGCCCTTAACACTAAGTGGTGCATTAGACCTTATATGGAACCTCTGTATTGGGGTGAATTTCACCCAAAGAGAAGAAATGATCTGACACATACAAATATTCCTGGCCAGATATTGTAAAACAATTCCCTATGTCAGTTAAATGCTTACACTTGGATTAAGATACGGCATTATTTTGGACATAGCACATCATTATTAATAATCAGTATAATTGTTTGTAGCTACCTTATGGAAATCTGTTGGCTCTGTTTTATCAAGAAGCCTCATCAGGACACCCAGAATATTAAATAGTGCCAAAAGTAAAGCAGGACTAGCTAGCTGAAATCCAACAATCTACTTCTGAAGCTGGAGAGCGTGCAACGTGCTGCATTATAGTGGGCTCATTTTCATCAGTGGTATTTACAGATTCTTCCTGATGGATTTTTTGCAAGTGAGGATCTTACTGCTTACTGTTTGTCACTAGGAGAGAACACAGATATTCCCATGGAACACAACTCCAGAAGATGTCTTGCTACTTATTCTATAATGGTGATATTCACTCCCGTCCACAAGGGAATGTAGGGGCCACCAAACCACTTAAGCCCTGCGTCAGAGGCGTATGTGGTGCAGAGGGCCATGTGCATGCCCTCCGTACTGGGACGAATTATAACTTGATTGTTCATTTTAAAAATAAATAAATAAAGCTTTTTAATTTTTAAATTAATAAATTAGGTGTGTCCTTAGATTTCTAGATGAACCGTACTTCTAGGATGGGGATTGCTTGTTAATGTCTGCCCAAAAAAAGGGACCTAGGTGTGTCCTTAGATTTCTAGATGAACCGTACTTCTAGGATGGGGATTGCTTGTTAATGTCTGCCCAAAAAAAGGGACCTAGATGTGTCCTTAGATTTCTAGATGAACCGTACTTCTAGGATGGGGGTTGCTTGTTTGTGTCTCTCAAAAAAAGAAAACACTGCTTCTTCACTTCCCTAAATTAAACAGGGGAATGGTTTTGTAATGCTCAGAATGCGCAAAGGAACACATACATACAGCTATGAACAGCTCATGGTATGAATAAGGTGCATGATATATCATAGCCTTGATTAGTCAGAGGGCCAAATTCACTATTGGCTCAAATAGGTGCAACTTCACTAAGTGCTGTGGAGTAAGTCCTCCGCGGAGTGTAGAGATGCCCCACTCACTGTGTCTTTCTTTGGGTCAAATTTGCTACTAATGGCCCAATCCTGAAGCCCTTATTTAATCAATGGGCATTCTGCCAGAGTAAGGGCAGCAGGTTTTGTATCCATATCAATGACCAAACTGGGGGGTAGGGGGGAAGAGTATTCTTACCCCTATCTTGGCCCTATCTAGATGGATTTACAACAACCAAAAAATGTTTTTTCGCAATATGTCATCCTCTGCAGTGACAAAGCTGCTCCCTTTCTTTCTCATCTCATCAGAGAATTATAGCCTTGTGGAACGGCAACATCTGTTTCTGTGCCGTTTTGTATGCTGCAGAAGTTCTAAATATAGACCTACACTATAGAATGTGATTTTTTAAAGTAATTTATTTTCAACTTCAGTATGAATCCAATCCCAAATGAGAGTGGTTCTTTTTTGTGAGTGGTAATTATAGGACTAGTGATAACAGCTAATGACAGGCTTTCATACAATAAACATTAAGGGCCCAACCCTGCACCGTTGGAATACTCACGTGAGAGAGCTGCAGGACCAGACCCTGATTTTGTATTTGCTTTCTAGAGAAGTGATTCTCATCTCAGATACTTGGATTTCTCCTGCAGCATATTTTACAGGTTTTGAGTAGTAGCTAATTTTACTAGCAATATATACTCATAGACTCATTTAAGAACACATGGAACAGACACTTTGTAGAACAAATTGTTAAACCTTTGGTGGCTGACCATAGAATCATAGAGGAGATGACAGTCACTTTCTCAGGTGATCATATGTTCTGGATGGTTTAAAGGGGACCACAAGTAGGACTGATAGAAAACAATAAAAACTCGGTGGGAGTGGGAATTATAACAGTCTTTAGAAACCGTAATATGTGGTGTTGAAGGTACAGAATATCTGTCTGCACCTTTTTTATATTTAAAATCAATGAACTACTTACAATACCTGCCTGTTGAATGGCAGGTACTCCAGTACTCTAAATCAAGGTAAAAAATATACATTCTTAAACTCAAGTAGAGTATTTTCATAAGAAGTAATATTTTGTGGTGGCCACTTAGCAACATGAGTATACTGTATGTAGCTAGATCACTAACCTTAAAACCTTTTACTGTTAAGTACAGGTTTTAATTTTTATTGTTTCTTGATCTCCATCACTCTTCTGTATCAGCAAGCTCGACCTGTTGGAAGGATTTTTCTCAAAAAATTCACATAATTAATGAGTTTAGTTATTTTATCAAGTAACAAGGTTTTTGTTTAGGATCTTCATTTTGTCCTGCTTTAGCACTCAACATTGCTAAGGAGATTGTATATAGGAAATACTTCTGTTGGTCCATTGCCTACTCGCAAGGGAAACACTCATTGATGCCAAATCGACAGTCATTGTGAATAATGTCTTTCTTCTTAATTGCAATGTTGCAGACACAATAGTAGTTCTTATTACACAGAACTTTAATTAAGCAAAGGAAAACACAGCTAATGCCCTAGTTCCTTTAGAGATGATCAGATCTGCAAAAGTGCAAGGGGATTATAATCTATTTCACAAGTGCACGAAAACTGCGCCCTACAAAAGTCGTGTGCCATTCTTTCTTCATTTTAATCCAATAAATAAATTATTTGTGTTCCATTAAATGAAAGGCGATAACTAATTATGTAAATAGATTTATTTATTAAAACAAAGCACAGCAGGCCAAATTCTCTCCCCAGTTACGTGTGCTTAACGCCCGTTGAAGTCAATAATACACCTCTACCCTGATATAACGCTGTCCTCGGGAGCCAAAAAATCTTACTGCGTTATAGGTGAAACCGCATTATATTGAACTTGCTTTGATCCACCAGAGTGCGCAGCCCCGCCCCCCCGGAGCGCTGCTTTACCACGTTATATCCGAATTCATGTTATATCGGGTCGCGTTATATCGGGGTAGAGGTGTAGCTCTACACAAATCTAAGGACATAAATTAGTTCAGTGTACTGTAGGACACTTTGTTCACTTTTAATGATTGGAATTAATCTAAAGGGTGGACATTATATTATACAAACACTAATAGACTATTGCACAAATTAAGCAAAGTTGGTGTTAGCAGGCATAAAGGATAACTGCATGGTGTATCATGCCCCAGCAAAGCCCAAAGGGAAGATCCATTACAGTGGAGGGCAGACAATAGTTATGTTGCTGTCCTGCACTAGGTTTAGATCAGGAGGGGCCATCTTTAAAATACACCAGGCCTCCGGGGTGAATCTGTGTGAGGTGGAAATCAGCCTAGATTTCAACTACCCTGGACACATCCTTCTTTCACATTCAGTGGCAGCTCCACTCACAAGAGGAAAGAGTCAGCTGTTTCTGACAGCCTGCTATACTCATCAGGGGCCAAATTCTCTTCTGATATAACTACCCTGATACTAGTATAGTTACACCAACAGTGAATTTGACCTCCTCTTCCTAAGATCACTAACATCCTTTACACCAGCATAAGATCTTAGACCAGCATTTGTGTTACTAGAGGATTTAGACCTGAGGGTATGAGCCTTTCATGATTAATGATTACTATGTTAAAGACACTGGTAATGAGTAATAACGTCTTAATTTACAATAATCATTGTTTGCTTGAATGTAGTATTTTAAATTCAATGTGATTTTTAATGGTTTATTAAAATACTTTAAATATTCAGGAGTGATTGTTTAAAGTAGGTTGCAAGGTTCTAAAATTATCATGTGTATAAAATTAAAACTTAATGGAGCGTCTCCAAATGGTTGATTTTAAAGTGAGAGTTTGCTGTGTCCTGATTCCGTGTAGTTGAATCATTTCACCGTTTTTCTTTCGCAGACAAACAAAATGATGTGGAGATTCCCTCTCCCACACAGAAAGACAGAGAGAAGAAGAAAAAACAGCAGCTCATGACACAGATCAGTGGAGTGAAAAAATTAATGCATAGTTCAAGCTTAAACAATACCAGCATTTCGCGGTTTGGTGTGAAAACAGAAAAGGAAGACCATCTGGCCAAGGTGTGCATGATTCTTGTACAAAAACATCCTTGAAGTTATATCATTCTAAATCTTCATTGAAGCTGGAAAGAGAGAAAAGATGATGCTGTCTACTAGCTTTAGCATTAAAATGGGAGCCAGGTCTCATGGGTTCTGTTCTCGTCTGTTTGAACTAGTAGACCAAGTCACTTATCCTAACCTGACAGCCTCTTTTGTAAAATGGGAATAAATATTACCTACCTGACAAGAGTATTGTAAGTCTTAATTAACGTTTTCAATGGGAGTTGAATCAGGCCCCTAGAGCATATTTTTAGGTGTGTACAGGCCTTTGAAATTTAATCAGAATAGTTTAAAAGATCAGAAGGAGGAGGGTGTGACTAAGTAGTTCTGAACTGTAAAGTCTTAGGCATTGGTGAACACAGCTCAGCCATGTCTTCCATTGGACACTTTGCCTTTGTCTTCTTGCTAGAGTTTCCTGCAGCTACATGAGACAGCACCGAAAATAATTCCCTTATGACTCAATGCAATGTGTTCTCCACTTAATAGTGGTTTGACATAGACTCTTCAGTGTTAATTTACATTTCGTGTACTTTGATAATCACCACTTAATATTAATTATCATCTTATTAAACTTTCAGAAAATACTGAGGAGTTGATTAAACTGATAGGTATGATAGTGTGTGGTACATGCTCCCACATGCATTTTTAAAGTATTGTAACTATTCTCTTTTATTGTTTTTGTTTTTCTATAGGAGTTGGAGGATCTAAATAAATGGGGTCTTAACATATTTAATGTTGCAAGATATTCACACAGCAGACCCCTCACCTGTATTATGTATGCCATATTTCAGGTTAGAGATTCCACATGCATTTGCTATTCTTTTACAACACTTGTATGTTTTCTGATTGTTTTCTGGTTTGTTAACTCCTAAAATATGTGTATGAGGACACCTTTGGTTGCATGTTTAATATGTATTCTTTTCACACTTATTAAACAGGAGAGAGATCTACTAAAAACATTCAAAATCTCATCTGACACCTTTGTAACTTACATGATGACTTTGGAAGACCACTACCATTCCGACGTAGCCTACCATAACAGCCTACATGCTGCTGATGTGGCCCAGTCGACACACGTTCTTCTTTCTACGCCTGCATTAGATGTAAGTTGTTCTGTTTTTAACAAAGTGATCTCTATTGGGGCATTGAAGAAATTTGACTGGATAATTCTAAACAGGGCCGCCGAGAGCGGGTTCGGGCCCCAGTGAAAAAAAATTTTCGGGCCCCCCAGCAAGGGCGGACCATCTAAACAGGGCCGACGAGAGGGCGGGGAAGCCGGGCCCGGAATTTTTTCGGGTCCCCCAGCAAGGGCGGACCGGCTAAACAGGGCCAACGAGATGGGGGGGAAGCTGGGCCCTGGGCCCCAGGCCCCGGTAATTTGTACCGGCTCCCCCCCTCCCCCTCTCGTCGGCCCTGATTCTAAAGCAATAAACAGGATATCTGAATGGATATTTCAATATATAGATCCTCTGTGTGAATTAATTGAAGCTATATGCAGTATTGGTGGCCCTGAAACCTAACTGCTGGAAGGCAACAGAGGGCATGAATGACTGAAGTGTGTAATCTTGAGCTAACCAGTGGGCTGGTGGTTGTGCATTCCAGCGCCATACAAGGTTCAGAGCGTCAATTCCATGTCTTGTCCTTACTTCTGGTTTGTAGATGAAATTCTGTCCACTCTCAACTCCTCAAAATCTGAAACCTATTGGAGTTTTGTTCACAGACTCAAGACTTCACTTTAAGATCATTAAAATACATAGCAGAACACTTAAACTGATGCATTCTGCTTCAGCATCCATTCATATTGCAAAAGTAGTATACTGTACTGCTTTTTCTGAGGGCTTAGTTTACTTAGGGCAAAGATACCTTAAATAATTTTCAGTAACAAGTGCATGTACTGTTTGAAGGGCTTTCTTCTGACTAGAAACATTTTGCTCATGGGAGGCTAAATCTTAAAAACAAGGACAATTAGTTTTAACAATTTTCCATGCAAACCATTCAGAGCTTATAGTTTAAAGGCTGTGGTCACATGCTCATATTGTTCATTTTTTCCTAGGCTGTCTTCACAGATTTGGAAATCCTTGCAGCTATTTTTGCAGCTGCAATTCATGATGTGGATCACCCTGGTGTCTCCAACCAATTTCTTATTAATACAAGTAAGTCTGGTTTTAAATACAGTAGTACCACACTAATCTGCAAATCTAATACACTCTCTCCCTTGTTCAACAAAGATTTAATAGCAGAGTAAGGTCTCAAATTACTTCCTTAAGACTGTGTTACTGTCGTGCAATATTCTGCAGTAGTCTACTAGCGCACCATGAAACTGGGCAATAATTAAACTGTTGTCAAAATAAAAAAACAAGTGAACTTTGTGATGTGGTCTCTTTATGACATAAATCATGTTTATTTTCCTAGTACTAATTCACAGTGAGTCTTCCAGTCATTAGTGTGAACTTGGGCAGTTCTTTTATAACTAATATGAGACAACTAAATAATCCATAATATTTTATTTTATATTTTTATTGTTGTTATGGATGATGATAAAGCCAAAGATTAGTGTTTGTAGTTCATAGTCTACTTTGGAACATGCTAAATACATGTATTAGTTCCAAGACAACTGTATGGCTCCATTTTGGAAAGTTTCTTTGCATGTTTTATGCTTTCTATTGTTAGTGACAAAAAGATCATTTTTTTCTCTCATCTCAAGCTAGTTACCAATTAAACTGAATAATAATGAGTATATTACAGTACTTGTATACGAGTGTTAATATTAGAATACCACACGCTATTTGGCTCTGATGAAACAAAAAGAGAACCAGTAGAACACAGCATGCGTAGTTTTTAATAATTTATTTAAATGATTCTAAAGACCTCAATGCACAACAGAAGGATTTCCTGTTTGAAATCCTGCATTATGCTTACTGATTTCTTTCACACTTCTTTACTAGATTCTGAACTAGCTCTGATGTACAATGATGAATCTGTCTTGGAAAACCACCATCTTGCTGTGGGTTTCAAACTGCTGCAAGAAGAACACTGTGATATCTTCCAGAACCTTTCGAAGAAACAGCGTCAGACTCTCAGGAAAATGGTGATAGACATGGTAAGAATTCTACCTTTACTGTACTCTGGCTATCCCTACTGCTGTTCTTAAAGAGAAAAATCGCCTTTTTGCACTTCTGCATTTACTTCACAAGGTTTTCTTCTTTTATAAAGGTATTGGCAACAGATATGTCCAAACATATGAGCCTTTTGGCAGATCTAAAGACTATGGTGGAAACTAAGAAAGTGACAAGTTCAGGAGTTCTCCTTTTGGATAACTATACAGATCGTATACAGGTATGTGATTGCAATTTTCCTTAGATTTTTGTCATTTTGCACAGTTTATTCCTCGTTGAAGAAACCATGCTGCATAGTTTTACTCTGGGTAATAGTCTTGGCATTTGTTGCAAAGTTCAGTGCTAACTTTTTTAGGAATCATTCAAAGCTTGTAAGACCCATATTGCTACTGTTCAATACCATGGAGAGAAGCAAAGAGGTACAGGAAAGCCCTAGGATGGATTTAGGCACTGCAATGTTCTCTCATTCTCTCTCTTGTTGAAGTTGTTCTATTATGTATCTGAGAGATCTGCTCCAGAATATCCCAGTGCATAGAAAAACCCACAGCACTGAGTCTCAGAGTATTGAGAAGAGGGGCTTACTCTCTCAGAGAAAGGGAAAGCACCCCATTCCTCCCTTGACTTTGGTGGCAGACATTTAATAACAAACTCACCAAAAAACCTCCCACTCTATCACTGGTTTAACATAAAGATCACAATTCATTTTTTTAAAAGCTGTTAATCTGGAGACAGAAGTTGCTGTAAAATATAGAACACTCCATTTCTCTGTAAATCCCTTTGTCCACAATTAATCAAATCCATTTTGTTTGTGTATAAGGGATGTTATTCAGTTAATAGAGCAGGGCTATTTAGCTATAAAAGGCTCAGTTTAGAGAAGAAATTATGAATGGTGGGAAGCACCTGCATTCAAGAACAGACCTACATGATGGCGTACTGCAACTGCACCCTGTATAGCCATAGAGTTAGCTGATTTGGCACACAGTGCCCTTTGTGCTTCCACAAAAGACCCTGACAACTAATCTCTAGTGTAATTTGGAAGAAATTTTTGAGAAGTTACTTTTTCATAGGATGTTGCATAATCAAAGACTTTTGTGATTAAAGTGTTCTTGATTAAACAAACAGGTATGCTCTGAAATCTTCTTTTATTCCACTTGATTTTATGAGTTTTCTTATTAATGTAATTTCAGGTTCTCCGAAATATGGTACATTGTGCAGATTTGAGTAATCCCACAAAATCCCTGGAATTATATCGGCAGTGGACAGACAGAATCATGGAGGAATTTTTCCAGCAGGGAGACAAAGAACGAGAGAGAGGAATGGAAATTAGTCCAATGTGTGACAAACACACAGCCTCCGTGGAGAAATCACAGGTACTTTACATTGGGGTATATTTTATTTGTTTCAGTTTGTAGTTTTAAATTGAATGGGCCAAGTTCATTCCTGGTGTGACTTTGGTTTCATCAATGGAGTTACACCAGGGATGAGTTTGGTCCAGATGTTTTTTCATTGATTTGGATATTTTTATTAAGGGCGTGGCATCCTCTTGCTGCATTTAATATGCTCAAGGGTCATCTGCCTTTTCAATTATAATGACAGGTTTGTTTCAGTGGAATAGGTAAATATCCAAAGGTTCAGAAGTTTGATTCTGATAAACCCCAAATACCTGAATGTCTTTGAAGCTTTTATAGATTTACGTGACCATTCTAGGTGTTCTCTTTCCTGCTTCACTTTGCCTTACATTCAAATGCAGCCTTAGCCTTCTCTTTTTGTGTTCCTACTTCCAGAAGCAATCGGGAATCTATCTGATCCCCCTGACTGGGAAGGTGCAATTCAGATTCCCCCATCTACTATTCTTCTCTCATCCTTCACAACATCCTTCTCCTTGGTCCTCAATGAGTCCCTCCAAAATTGGTCAATATCCTGCCAAGTCAGCAAAGTTTTGGCAGTCTCTGTTTAGTGGCTAGTCTCTTTACATTTTGCACAGTCTAGGGACTTCCAGAGTCAGGATCCACTCCAGAATGCTTTGGGAAAGATCTGTAGACAGCAGCCAACCCAGTGTGGACTGTCAGACCTGTGGAAACCCACAGTTTATCAGGATATAATCTTAAGGGCCTGTTGGAAGTCCTGGGAGGAGGGGATTGGGAAGGCAGGGCAGTATTTATCTAAATCAATACAAATATTTAAAAAGGAGTTGGCTCCTTTGAAGACTGGAATATTTCTTACTTTGTGAGAACTCATTGGCACATCCCTTGTTCTCATTCATAGATTTTAAGGCTAAAAGGAACCATTAGATCATGTAGTGTGTTCTGTATAACACAAGCCGTAGAATTTAACCCAGTCATCCCAATGTTGAGCCCAACGACTTATGTTGACTAAAGCACATTCTGTTCTTTAGATAGTGGTGCCTCAGTTACTTATTTAATTGGCTTGAACAAGACATTGCCGAGGATTTGTGGGACCAAATAATTAACAAAGTTGATCATTATTATTTCTAAATGTCCTCCTGTGCTAAACCACGTAGTTTCAAAATTATTCACGTCACCATTGAAAAAAATCTGTGCTCATTTGTTAGCCCAACAACAATCTATGACCCCAGTTTGGCAGGGAAATGTCCATGTGCCCCCTGAGGCAGTGTTGAAGCGTTGTTCTGCTCCGTCTTCTCACTTCAGAGAGATTTTAAAACATGGATTGTGGTTGTGCAGGGAGATCAGGAATTGAACAGAATGGCAACCATTTGAACAAGAAAAAAAATGCATCAACAGAGAGAGGCATTTACATTTTGAAGTTAAAAGAGCCTAAAATAGAAAGAATGACAAATACAAACATATTTAAAATTCTCAAATGTACTAAATAATGTCCTTTTAAATCTTGTAAATATTCTTTTCAGAAACAGGCAAATCCTTTGCTTGGTTGTTTGAGATGCTTGTTTAGATGAACAATTAACTGTTTGTTTCATTTAAAAGTTGCAGCATTTGTGACCATTAGTCCTTTATGAATATTGGGAGCTTTTATAATGTCAATGAACCCCGCTATCCAATAACCAAAACACTGGAGTTTTTTCACTTTAAAAGTGCCTCCAAACATGTGCTGCAGGAAGTTTTCATCACCTTTTTGTTTAAGCTGCTGCAACAGTATGTTACAATTGAATTATAATGGTTCTATTGACATCCTGTTGTGTCTGAAGAAGGCATATGTGATTTCCAAAGCAAACATCCGCGTGTTGAGTCTGGCCCCTTAGAGAGCCGTTTTCCTGCTGCATAGAAATGTTGTCCAGCAGTGCGCGGAGTCAAGTGACACATTCTGCCAAGATGGAAGAATTTCAATCCTCTTTATGGCCGTTCAGTTTTCTCCATCCTGTACGTCCTGTTTGTCAGACAATTAAAAAGTGAGCCAATTCAGAGCTTGCTTGCCAATAGTCTGAAGGACTCACAGACCCAACCTGGACCATCATTATTTCCATCAATGACACATCCATCTGTACCACAGGAGGCCTGCATACATATTATACCATCACTGTGGACAAGGGATTGTTTTTGTCGTGGGTCCTTCATTTGGTTTTGTACACTCTTAAGAAAGAAAAAAGAAAGTTGTAGTAGGCTGCATCCAAACAGAAAAACAGCAGCTACTTCTGCAACAGAAAGGAGAGACATCTCTCTATTTAAAGGTGCAAAGCAGAGAAAACAAGTCATCACACACAAGCTATATGCGATAATAAGATATCATTAAAGGTCAAATTGAAGTCTATAAAAGCAGTAACATTCAGAATTCGGACTGATAGTCAATCTAAGAACGTTGGCTTTTTCACAGCTGCCAGCCAAATGAATGCTCAAGGGGAATTGCACTGCGATTGCCATAAAAAAGAAAAATCAATATTGTTACTTCAGGTACCTCTGTACAGTAACAGTTGGGAGGTGACATTTAAATAGCAGCCACAGCGAAGCCTTCTATCTCCCAAAGATTAACTAAGCCTGAGTTTTGCCTTAGTATTGCACCACAACACGTTGTTTGGAGTCAGCCAAAGAAAGATAACAGCAATCCTATAATCACGTGTTCACTATGGGATGGCATAATGGTAGCCTTATCTCTGAATGTCCATGTGACCGTTGTTTTTAATTAAACCTTCACTTAGGGCCTGATGTTAAAAAAGGCCTCAAGCCAACTTTCATTTTTGTCGGTAAAATTTTGCAGAGGCATAATGTGTGCAAATGGTGCTATTTAGACACTGGGTTTGGGGGCCCAGTCTGATGCATTTATTTGCAGGCAAAACCAAAGGCTGCTTCTCAGAATCAGGTCCTTAGTGGTGTTGAATATTTTCTGAAAAAATGCATCAGTCATTTGTAATGTTTGTGTAATATTTTGTTTCTCAGGTTGGATTCATTGATTACATCGTCCATCCACTTTGGGAGACCTGGGCGGACCTAGTGCAGCCTGACGCACAAGACATCCTGGATACTTTAGAAGACAATAGGAACTGGTACCAGAGTATGATACCTCAAAGTCCCTCCCCTCCCCTTGATGAACGGAATAGAGACTGTCAGGGTCTAATGGAGAAGTTCCAGTTTGAACTGACTCTTGAAGAGGAGGATTCAGATGGACCTGAAAAGGAGAGTGAGAGTATCAGCTATTTTAGCAATACAAAGACACTCTGTGTGATTGACCCTGGCAAAAGGGAATCACAAGAAGAAGCTAATATAGAAATTGTGACAGAAGATATGTCACCTGTTGATACATAATGTACTGTATGTAGGTGAACTTTAAACACTTAATGAGCATGCAAGCTGTCTTGTAGGACTAGCCTGCGATCTAGGTCTTAGGCCTGTGTCTAACATTGGCTAAAAGATCTTCTCAGCTACTTGAGATTGGAGTCAAGGTTAAAGATCGTGTATGGAATGATTGCTCAGGAAATTAACAGATGATTTACATTGTAGTTTAAACCTTGTCATCTTAAAACATTGTGTTGTTCCGGAGCCAGCTTGAATTGTTACTGAACTGGTTGAAAGTGAACGACACAGAACTGAGAGATTTTATACTGTTAAGGTTTTGGGATTTATACCAGTTAGACTGATAGAAACTACTGAATAGTAACTCTACATATAAAACCTGTCCACCTAACCACCTGTCTGCGGACCTGTGTGCCTTTTTTGTAAACACTTTCACGTCTTTTCAAGAGCCTATTAAATACACAAAGTTTAGTATAAAACTCTACACAATGTGTTTCAAAATTGGTGGATACTTTTTTGATTCTTCCTGTTAAAAGAAATAGTCTTCCTTCTCTCATGGGCAATATCTGTCACTTTATTGCGGTTAATCGTTTTTACAGGCTAAACAGAAGGGGTACCCACGATTTTGCATTGCTGCACATTTAATAGTCTCGTTAAATCTCCAGATGATCTTTTAAAGTCATTTCATACCATTGCACATCTTTTCTGTTTGCTTGCTATGTACAACAGTATTTTTTCCTCAGTAGGGTTCACTTTTGTTGTGCACAGGATAAAGGGTAGTTCTGTTTTTCTAGCACAATGCAGTACATATACAACTAAGTGTAATAAGGCAGTGTGTGATGTGTGTTCTCCCTTTGATGGTTTCTTTGCTCAGTGGAAGTTGCACGCTCGGATCTTTGTGTTTCTCTCACTTGTAGTTCATGTTTCCTAGGTTTAGTTCCATCATCCTTCTCCTGCACTGCCTTGAGCTCTAACACGTCCATTACTGTTTATAACAGTGTATTTATTACTGACTGTATATAATGTAATGTTTTGTAAGTTATTAATTTATATAAATTAACATTACCTGTCAACGGTGGTGTTAATTGTGTAGAAAACTCTGGATAAGAGTTGCCTTTTTTTCTTGTAACCTTTTGTATTGCATAAAATAGAAGAACCTGAACATAGCGTAAGAGACATACGGAACCCATAAAGGGCATTTGGGTGGCGTTAGCTCACAGGAGTTTCGTTTTCATGATGAGTTAAGAAGAGTTGTATCTTATGACTGGGAGTGGGGGCAATAGGACGAGCTGTTTAAACTACTGAAACGGAAACCCCCTGTGAATGCTGCCAACTATTAAATGTCATGTTCCAGTATATGAACAACCCAATGTGAATTTCTATGACAAAATGTGAACTGATGTAATAATTGTGCTGTGAAGCTTCTTCTGACAAAGCTCGTTAGGCATCATTAATGGTGTCAATCTCAGTTTGTAAAATATATTTCAAGCTTTTGGTCCAACTTGTGACTAAATAGTTGATGAGACTAGCACAGTTGTGCATGATCAATGGGTTTGTATGTCTGTTGAACACTGCATTGTTCCAGGTGGTTATTTTATTGTTTTCAAAAGTTTCACACAATGTATGTTATAGTATTATATATTGTGTTCAGATGCATTCTTAAGAGATTTTTATATGAAGTGAATAAATGAAAGCATGACCTAGACTGGGGCTCTTCTGGCTGTTTATTTTTATCAACAACTTTGTATGTGAAATAACTAAGCAGCATCAAAATGTAAGTAAGGTCGCGATAGCCTACCCAGGGAGTAGGCTAACATATGATCACTGACCAGCTCCCATGGTAAAATAAAAACCAGGCCTCCACACAGAATAGCTTTCTGCAGCCAGAGACCAAACCAAGACTTGCATAGCCAGAATCTGTAAGCACAGACATTCTCTGGCCAGTCTTCTACTTATTCAGAGTCTCAGGACAAGTGTCCAGCACTCAGAGACCCCCTTCTTCCTTTTTCACCTTTAACCTTCCCGATGGTGAAAATCATCAGTGCTGTGATCAGTCCTCTTAGCCTCTTCCATGGCTTGGTTCTGTCGCAATTCCTGCAGTGTGGGCAGACACCTGTTAAGAAAGGCTTCTAACCTTTTCTCTGTCAAATGCTGCATAGGGTCTCTACACCCCATCTTAGTAACACTGACAGGGTGGCTGCCCACACCATCCAATACCACAAACCAAAGACAATTCTGGTCCCACAAAGTGGTTCAGGTTTCAGAATCTGGTTCCTGAGTCTTAGAGTAACAGTTTTCCGATGCCAAAGCATTCTAAAATCACAAGTCAGGTGCCCAAAATCTTATGCGGTTGGCTTAAAAATCATGAGATTTAGAAAAAATAATTTGGGGGTCTTTTTGTGTCTTCTGGATTTTAAGCCGTTAAGGTTCACACTGGTCACATTTTTCTCTGCAATCATGATGTCTAGAAACTTACTTTTTTTTTTTTAAATAAAAGCTGAGAATCTCTCATAACCAATTGATTACAGGTGCCAAGGTTTTAAGAACACCCCCAAATATTGCAAGACTTGCTATAAAATCATGAGAGTTGGCAGTAGTGTAGTGATCAGCCAAATTAGACACATAATCCAGTTCTTCCAGACAATGATGATAAGGCACATCTTGTTCTGGTTCTTTAACTGGACACTAGATGGCATGACTAGGGACATTACAAGCTAAATACCAGTTTACAATGAATAACAATATTCTCCCTGAATTGTCTTCCAGATTCCTCCCCCTACTACCTGTCATGTCTTGAACTGTAAAACTTTTTGCTTTTTTGGATAGTCACTCACTGAAGACACATCGTGTGCAGATATTGGAAAGTGAGTAGGAGCGACTGTAACTGTGAGGACAAAGTACTTCACTGCGCAGTGAACTCTTTCTAACTGAAATGGCTTCAAACAGGCCTCACTAGGACTCAAGGTTATGTGACTATGTGGAAGGACTTCGTGAGTACAAAATAGCATCTGAAAACTTTCTTAACCAGTGGAAAAAAAACTGTATTTTCTCATGGCTCTAATAACTCGGGAGGCCAATCAATACAAGAAACTTTCTTTAGGAAAAAAAAAAATCAACTTTCAGGTGAGAATATGCATAAGGAAACAACAAACGCCACTGCTCCCTTGACTGCAGCTTCCAGGCAGGCAATGGAAGTGGGGCATGGAGGGAACCTAGCATCCACCCCTCCCCCGCTATGGACATTTTTGGGGGGAGGCTCTGTTTCCTCCCTTGCCCCTCCCCCCAAGTATCTTGGGGAGGCAAATGCTGCGTATTCATGTGAGGGAGCTGACTGGAGATGATAGTGGGACTGGAGGAGGGGCTGTAGTGGCACAGTGCACTGGAGAGCAGGTAGGACTTCCTGACCCAGCCCAGTCCTGCCTTCCAGCCACCGTGGATCCCATGGAAACACCTGGCCCAGGGGAGCACCAGCTGCCAGGGTGCTGTAGGGGATGGGAGAGAGCACCGGCACCTGGGTGGGGGGCAAGGGGATATTGGCACAGAGGGTGCCCAGTGGGAGGCAGGACACTGGGCACCAGCCTCCAAAGAGTTGCCATAGGAACAGCAGCAGGAATTACTGGGGTGCACCTTTCCGGCCTGGAGCTGGCTGCCCCCACCACCTCCTCCTCAGTCCCAGCAAGGGTTAAGCACTCTGTGCTGCTAAAGGGGCACCAGTTAATGAGGCCATTAGGCTCCCCCATGCATGTTTTGTAAGCGTAGAGGGTAGGTTAGCGCCCCCCCCCCCCATATCCTGGCATTATTCCAATCAAGCGATTATATCGTCTCCCTCTAGTTCTCCTGCAGTTTCATCAGAAGAAGCTCTTCACATGCTGTGCAGTGTTCCTGTGTGCTGTTAAACAGCTGTGTGTAGTGTAGTTGTAGCCATGCTGATCCCAGGATAGGAGCGAGACAAGGTGGGTGAGGCACTATCTTTTACTGGACCAGCTTATTTTGGTGAGCGGGCCAAGCTTTTGAGCCACGCAGGGTATGTCTACACTGTAACTAGACACCCACAGCTGGCCTGTGCCAGCCAACTTGGGCTCACGCTGCAGGGGCTGGTTCATTGCTTTGTAGACTTCCAGGCTTGGGCTGGAGCCTGGGCTCTAGGACTCTGCAACGTGGGTGGGTGTGGGTCCCAGAACTCGGGCCCAACCCCGAGCCCAGAAGTCTATGCAGCAATGAAACAGGCTCTCAGCCTGAGCCCTGCGAGCCTGAGGCCTTGTCTACACTACACAGTTTTGTCGACAAAACAGTGGAGGCCTATACACTGAAATGTTCCTCCCACCGATGTAACACCCCTGCTGTGCTGACACAACACCACCACCTCAATGAGAGGCGGAAGGCTTACGTCAGTGTAGTTAGGGCAGCACAGTGTCTGTGTAGACGCTGCGTTCCTTAGAGTGGCTGTTGGCTGTCAATTTTGTGGCTGCTGCTGCCAGGTCCCCACTCCAAGCTGGGCTGCCACTCAGGCTCCTGGCTTGGGCTGCCACCCTGCTGGGAGCCCTGATGCCCTCTGGGATCCCAGTTCCATGCTTCCTGCAGGGAGGTACCATCCCAGTTACCACTCACATACCAAAAAACCCACAGATCACAACACTTACCATCATAAATCCAGTCACCACCCAAACACACCATCTGTTATCGGCATTTACGGAAAAGACTCTCTTCACAGTCTTGGCAATACATTACATTTCCCCCATTATTAGTCATTTGTATTTCATTAGCGCCTGGGGGGGGGCCAGTTGAGAATGGGGCTTTGTTTTGTGCTAAGCACTGTACAAACAAAGGGCAATAGACAGTCCCTGCCTCTAGCAGCTCGGTGTTGGAAAAAGATGAGGGGAAAGGGATATAACACACAAACAGAGTAAAGGTCATGTTCCACTTTTTTTAATTCTTTGGGTGGGTTTTGTTTTAGGAGGAGGTTAGTTAAAGGAAAGACAAAGGCAGGGCAGCAGAGAGCGGGTAGGCAGGAGGGAGTGTGTGGCGTAACTCTCATTGTGGCGGAAGATTGCTGGGTGCAGAGACCAGTAGTAAGATGCCATCTTGGGCCCTGGGCTGCAGGGAGAACTTGCAACACACAGCAGGCACTCAGTGTTTAAATAGAAATAATGTGTGTGTTCAATACAAGCTCTCTGGGCCTTCATTAGACCCCCCCACCACGGGGAGAATGGAGACAGTAAGAGTAAAGCTGAGGAGAAGAGGCCTGGCAGGGGTTGCAGTGAAAAAGCAGAGGGGAGAGAATATCCAGTCAGGACGCTGACCCCCATGGAGTGTCTGTCCCTGCTGGGGCTGCTTGTGTATGAGCGTTTCTCTGGGGATGGCTATAATTTCTTTCTTGTCCAAGCCCACAAGGCTCAGGGGAGTGAGCTGTGTCTCTTCCCTGAAGATTTCAGCCATCTTCTCTGGATTATAGCACACTGGCCCTCACGTGGCAGACCCCTGAGGATGAAGAGGCAGCCGACCCCACCCTCAGAAGCCAGCAGGAGGGAGAGGAGCGGCCATTGTAGGCGCCACAGAAGACTCCTGTGGGTAAGTTAGAAGCTAGGTCCTGGCGGGGGGCAGCAGCACATGGAGGGTGGGGGAGCATCAGTCACCTCAGGGAAGATGTGGGGAGCAGCAAAAGATCAAACACGGGGGGGAGGGGGGCACCAACCACCTCAGGAGATGGGATTGCAGGAGCCTTCACCCCACACCCTGGCCTCCCAGGGGTGAGGGCAGAAGGGGATGCAAAGCCACCTGGGTGCCGTTGTTCCCCAGCCAGCTCCAAGATCAAAGGCCTGAGCACTGCCAGACCCAAAAGCAGGATCTG